CATGTAATGCATTCTGTTTAATTTTGCAGTTGTAGCCAGAAGCTTGTAAAAATTATAAATACACACATTTGAGTCATATAGTTAAATTCATATAGACATCCTTTATTGATTCCTTTTTATTTTTAACATATTGGTATGAATAGAAACCATATGTTAAAAGGATTTCTTCCTGTTGTTTTGCCTTGTAAAAGAAACCTATCAGTACAAGGCTTTGAAGTTGACCCTTTTTGTGCTTTGTTCACGTTCAGTGTAAAGTCCAAAGAAATATACCTGAATAAGCACGGACGCTAATCTCTTGTACCAGCTCTTAAGCTGACAGTAATTGTCTTAACCTACATTCTGATATTACCAGCTACCAAGAGACCTTACTGTATTTTCAGTAATCAGTTTAGGCCATGCATTCAAATACAGTTTGCATATGAACTTGTACTTTTCTATTTCGGAATGTTGCTTCATAATGAGATAATATTCACATGTCAGCTTACAGTAATACTTAGCGTTACGCAAGAAAATATGCTATCTTTTGATGATCTCACCCATGTTTTGTAATGATGGCTAATATATTATTTGACTGCTTCCACAGGCGCCTCATAACAGATTCAAAAGTGAAGTTGAAGTACCAGCATTTAATTACAAATAGTTTTGTAGAGGTAAGAGATCTTTTTTTCTTCTTCTTGACAGTATTTCGAGATTGAATATCAAACTTTGATCCGTAATGTGAGCTGCTGGGTTGTCTCTTAATTGCCCCTTGGGGATACATAAAGTCTTGTGAATCTGAATATGTGTACTACTTTGAAAAGCAAAAATCTTATTTCTGCCCTCTGAGTCTAATTTGTCTCATTACTCATTTTAGTGCAATCGACTGTTAAAGTGGTGCCCTGCACCAGACTGCCATCATGTTGTCAAAGTCCAGTACCCAGATGCCAAGCCAGTGAGGTGCAAGTGTGGACGCCAATTCTGGTAAGAGAGAATTTTTTATTATTTTAAAACCTTTCTTGTAAATTTATTTGCAGTTTTTGAATAATGTGTTTGATATTGCTCCCTTTGTTTCAGCTTCAACTGTGGAGAAAATTGGCATGATCCTGTGAAGTGTAAGGTGCGCGAAATGGAGATTATTTTCTTACCTTAGAGAAAAATTATGCTTTGGATTCAGCTTCTACTTAAGAAAAATATTAAGATTAGCATTCAATACATGAATCCATGTCCTTCTATTTTAACGTGTTTGCAGTGGCTGAGAAAATGGATTAAAAAATGTGATGATGACAGTGAAACTTCAAACTGGATTGCAGCAAATACCAAGGTGTGGATTCTGAGGGTTTTTTTCTCTCTCATGTTATGTATTAAGTTTAAATAGGATTAAACAATGTTGAAGTCCCTATATTTTTGTCACATATTTGTGTGCTCATAACCTGTCATAAAGTGTGCACACCTTACAGACCTGACAGTTGTTGACAATTAATGTTTACAATCATCAGTGCATATCTATGAATTAGTTTTACAGGGCCTTGCCCATTGTTGCTTCGTTTGTTTCTGCAGCCTTTTTCTCAGTCTATAGCATGAATCATTTCCTTGAATTACTGTTTTTAAATAAAATTAATGTAATTTCATTCACAGGAATGTCCAAAATGCCACGTGACCATTGAGAAAGATGGTGGCTGCAATCATATGGTTTGTCGAAACCAGAACTGCAAAGCTGAGTTCTGCTGGGTCTGTCTGGGTCCATGGGAACCACACGGCTCAGCCTGGTGAGAATCACTAGCTCACATGCTTGTTATGTGGAGTCTTTTGTTTTAGTGTCTGCTGGAAATGTCAGAACAGAGGATGACTTTTTCCACCTTTTTTTTGTTGTTGTTGTTGTTGTTGTTTTTCGCTACACTTAAATGACAGCTCAGGTTTCTTACTTCCTCCATCATCACTTGTTTGGGTTTTTTTTTAATGGCCCTAAAAGATGTAGAGATTAAAATTCAGATTTTCTGTGTTAGAGTGCCATATGAATGTGAATTTGACCACCTTAAACACACATAGTATAGCTTATCAGAGAGAAGAACATTACTCTTTTCATCTCAGTTATATATTTTTAATATTTCAGGTACAACTGCAATCGCTACAATGAAGATGATGCCAAGGCAGCCAGAGATGCTCAAGAGGTAATCAATTATATTGAAGCTTCAAAATTTTTGTACGTTCTTCTATTTGCCAGATGTATAAAATCAAGTAGCCTCAACTGTTGTACCAAGCATGGTTTATGTTCCAGTTAACGCTTACATCTAAAAATGAATTACAGTTATTCTTGAAGGAGAAAAACCATGATTAAATAAATAACATGGCATTTCTATAGTTTACAATAACTAAAATATATCTGTATATTGGATATCGTTTTATAAAGAATTGTACAGCAAGCTGATAATTACATGATGATTCAGACCTGACAAACAGTTGAGACATTTCAGTATATGTCTCTGATATTCCAGTGCCCATCGAGAAAGTAGAGTGACAGTCTATTATAAGTAAAGATGAGCGTGCTCACAATAAAGGAAGTCCATGCTGTGTGTGTATGTGTGTGTGCAGCGCTCCAGGGCAGCCTTGCAGCGGTACCTGTTCTACTGCAACCGCTACATGAACCACATGCAGAGTCTGCGCTTTGAGCACAAGCTCTATGCTCAGGTCAAGCAGAAGATGGAGGAAATGCAGCAGCACAACATGTCCTGGATTGAGGTGCAGTTTCTGAAGAAGGCTGTGGATGTGCTGTGCCAGTGCCGCTCCACACTCATGTTCACTTATGTCTTCGCCTTCTACCTCAAGAAGAACAACCAGTCCATTATTTTTGAGGTAGGGCAGTTTTTGGCTCAGATACACTAGTGTGATTGTACCTTTTTTATATGAGATATTTACTATCGTGCTGGAAAATTTTGGTAGCATTATTTGCAGCGGGCATGAATGAATCCAACATGGCATACGAACGAAACTGGACACCTCACCAACCCCAGATGTAACACCTTTTAGCTTTCGACTTTTGTGGAAGCTGTGTTCGTCTCTCCCCCTCTTTCATTCACACAGTTTTGATCTTCATGGATGAACTAAGTGCTGAAGAGCTGTTTTTTTTTTTTTGGTTTTTTTTTTAACTACTTTATTAGAAATTCTCATAGATTAGACATTTGTTCCTTTAGCTCTATTATATAGTGGAACGTTGCTTATCTGATTATAATGCAATTATCACTCATCAGAACAACCAGGCAGACCTGGAAAATGCCACCGAGGTGCTGTCAGGCTACCTAGAGAGGGACATCTCCCAGGATTCCTTGCAGGACATCAAGCAAAAAGTACAAGACAAGTACAGGTCAGTGAAGGAAGAACTGCACTGGTGCATGCCATGGCTGACTTTGTGTGTTTTGGAGCTTAAAATTTGTCCTGTGTCTGTAGATACTGTGAGAGCAGGCGAAGAGTGCTGCTACAGCACGTGCATGAAGGCTATGAGAAGGACCTGTGGGAGTACATTGAGGATTGAGAACACGTCCCAATGCAACGGACTCTTGAGTATCTTGACAAACTAGAGCGCTGATGCAATTTAACAGGGCAGCACAGGCCTTCTGCCGCCTCTCCTTTGGCAAACCAACCACTTTTGCATCATTTTTTTTCTGGATTTGTTTAACAAAATCTTCAAAGTAAATTATATTTAAATAAAGGGTAGAGTAATAAAAAAATGTGTACTACAGTATTGTTAGCAACAGAGTGGAGGGTTGAACAAGCAGAAGATCCATATTAAACAAATACATCCTTTTGGCTTGTATTGTAATACCTCCCCTGAACTTGTTTTCCTCATGTTTTTTGTTTGTTTTTGTTTTTTTTTGCTTGTGAATCTTTTACTCTGTTTTGATTTTGACTTTTGTTTTCCCATCAGTGTGAAAATGTTTTCAACACAGCTTTAATTGTCCTGGCCATGTCTGCAATATGTGGTAAAGATCCTTGTCTGAGTGGCTGAATGTTGATAGGCTGATTGCAAAGGGGCAAATACATTTCAGGGGGGGAAAAAAAGGAAGAAAAAAAACATAAAAAGAACAAAATAGCGAGTCTGTATTTTTCAATTTGTAAATAGTCCATATGCATGGAAGTTCAAGAGCAGGAGTGGCACGTGTTTGCATAATTTTCAAATATTTATTCTTTACCGTGCTTTTGCCATGTAGGTTGAGTCTGTCTACTCTCCACAGACTGTTGATGTTTGGAGGTCTTTGGCAATAAGATATTCGTCCTGTCATCTGCAGTCCCTTCAGAGCAGTCATAAGTTATACCTAACCAGTAACTCAACATGGAGACTGACAGAATTGGCTTTAGTTTCCAGGTAATCACATAAAGGACTCAGTGAAAGTGCACAGAGGAGCAGGATAAAGTTTTACAGGTCAGAGGTGAGGTAGAACGCACCGGCCCAGTGTCTCTCTATGCTAACCTTTTGTTGTACCCCCCTAGTTGTTTTTGGAGGTGTTTAACATTTAAGAACATTACTAATTATTTGCAAGAGCCAAACTGAGTGACATTCACTCCTTTTTTTTTTTTTTCTCCCCTCTTTCCTGACGTGGCTTGAGGTAGCTCAGCTTGCACCTTGAGAATTGAAAGAGGGTAATGGAATGTACTGACAGCGCGGCGTTGCACTGCTGCTAATTGGGCTCGATCACTGTCAAACAGGGTCAGGCATCTGCATCACTCTTGCAGGGAATATTGGAATGGAGGTGGTAGTGGCATCATCTCCATTCAGGAGCTCTCTTGCCTTGCAGTGAGACTGAACATTGCTTTAATTGAGCTACACAGATGGACATCTGATCCTTAAGGAGCTGAGGGAGATGGGACAAACTTCTAAAGGTTGTAGGAGTGTTTTGTAAAGCTGTTATGCTTTTTCATTAAAGACTGCATTTTTTTTTTTGTTGTGTGTTTTTTTTTTTTTTTTCCCCTCTCGCACGTGTGTTGAGGTTTTGGCATTGAAATGTCAGTTCCCCTCAAGATTTTGCATTGCTCTATGCGGTGGTTGCTCTGGTTGTCAAGCTCTCTGCTTGTAAATGCTTGTTCATCTGTTCTCTGAAATATGGCAGTCTTCAGAAAGACTGACTGGAGGGGACGCGATTATACAGGCAGTGATACGAGTCTGAAGATGACACCAAAGTGTCAGCCATCACTGAAACACATCCTTTGCCCCAGTTTCAGATCTTTGGGGAATTCTTTCCCAAATGCTTCTTATGTGTTCAAACGCATTATTTTATCCTAGCAAATTATAAACTGTATTGTTTATTTGAATAAATGTCATGACAAATCTAATTTTTTGGAGTACTGTGTGAGTCATTAGAGTAGGTTTTCTCTCATCTTAATTACCTTAACATCCATGAGTCACTAATTCCCCCCCCCCCCCCCCTTTTTTTTTTTTTTTTTTTTTTTTTTTAAAGCAGTGTTGTGTTCTGCAGACCTTGCCAGAGTGTCTTCCAAAATGACATGGAATTAATTTGATAACTTTTAAATAATAATTTTAACTTTTTTTTTAGTTTATTCAGAGTGTTATATAGCAATCAGGTGGTTTTGTTTTGTTTTTATGTCATTTTAATTCTCTCAAATCCCAAACTTATGATGACACAAGGTGAATGGATAAAAGATGGGCTGTTTTCTCCAAGCTGTCTTGCAGTAACACCAGCTGTAGCTTTGCTCATTAGGCTAATGTGCTCTCTAGGGTTTTCATTGTGTCTGCTAGTAGTTCATGAACATCTCAGCTTAACGGATGGAGTAACAGAAGCAGCTACTCACATTAAATTGACATCCAAAAGACTTTTAATAGTTTTATAAATATCTTCAATTTGCACTATTAAAGATGTCTTGGTAGTGTAAAAAATGTTTGGGGGTGGAGTTAGTTGTTTTACATGAAAATATTAAAGTGCAAAATGTTAGAAACATTTTTTTGTTTTGTTTTTTTTGGGGGGGGGGGCAATTTTATTTCTGCAGCACCACTCATTTAACTGTCTGAGGTGTTTTGAAAGTGTGTCATTATGAAGACTTCCACTGTTGTACTGTCACTGGTATAAACCAAGTCCATCCCTGGAATTGCATTTTTAAAATAAAGAGCATTTTTAACAGTATAGTGTGAATGTAAGAGTTACATTTTCAGCCACATGATGGGGACAAAGACACCAGTTCTGACAAACATGATTACTAATTGTGAGTTTCAACGTCAAATGCACGGTGTTAAAATGGAAGGTGTGACACAGAACGCATTATTTTTGACAGCTCATCCATATTTAGCACCAAACAATAACATTTGTCTCAAGGTGCTTTGTACAAGTTAAAGATCCAACAGTAAGACATAAGAACCTTAACAATCAAACACCCCTTTTGAGCAAGCACTTGGAGATAGTGGGAAGGAAAAACTCCCTTTTAACAGGAAGAAACTCTGGGCAAAATCAGGCTTGGGGAAAAAGCAGTCATCTGACACAACTGGTTGGGGGTGAGGGGAGGAAGAGAGGACCCAAAATTCATAACTAGTGATTAAATGAAAATGGTGTATAAGGACAGAGTTAAGAAGAAATGCTCAGTGTGTCATGGGAAGCCCCCAGCAACTTTAAGCCTATTGCAAAGTAACTAAGCGTTGAAATTGTTTTTAGCAAAAAGGGAAGTTTTAAGCCTAATCATAAAAGCAGAGAGGGTGTCTGTCACCTGAATCTGAATTGGGAGCTGATTCGACAGAAGAGGAGTTTGAAAACTTAAGGCTCTGCCTCCCATTCTACTCTGGAATATTTTAGGAACCACAAGTAAACCAGCAGTCTGAGAGCAAAATGCTCTGTTGGCATGATATAGTACTATGAGTTCTTTAAGATAAGATGCTGCTTGACCTTGTATGTGAGGAGGATTTTAAATTCAATTCTGGATTTACCGGTCGAGCCAATGAAGAGAAGCCAATATGGCAGAAATATGCACGCTCTCACTGCAGCATTTTGGATGAACTGAAGGCTTTTCATTGAGTTTTTAGGAGAGCCTGATAATAATGAATTATAATAGTCCAGCCTAGAAGTAATAAATACACAAACTAGCTTTTCAGCATCACTCTGGGTGTATGGTTGATTAATAAGCTGATGTGGAAGATTGCTTCCGCTCGTTCTCCTTGGCCTGTTCTTTGAGGATTCTAACAGTATGACTCAAACTAACATAATCATCCTGCTCTAATCAGGTTTCAATTCATTCGTTTAGGAACACATTATAGCTTTACAAGAAGTCTTAACATTGTTTTTTTCCCTTCTCTTGAATATTTAGAGTTGAGAAGTGACAAAACACGATGGTGAGACAAATGTTTTAATTCAGTCTGCAGAAGTAGGAAAATCATACAAAATGAAACCACGATTTGAGGTTCAGTCATAAGTTTCACACTGACTGTATACAGCACACTCGGCTTGTGTTTTTGAAACCCGAGCAGTTTCAACACAAAAACTACAAAGGGTTGAAAAATTAAAGGAGCTTCCTCTACTGAATGGACTGGACCAAGCTTCTCAAAGTTATTCAGTGTTTTGACTTTAGTGCTTTCACTCATTTGGTATTTTGCTGATGGTGGTTGAGGGAGCATCCAAGAGCGCATCCATAGTATATATTATTTACATCATTCTCATCAGCCACTCAGTGAAACCCTTGTTCCCTGTGTACAGGGGCACTGTCATCTTGAAAGAGACATTTCCATCTGAACAGAAATGGGTAAAGGTGGCGGCTCAGAGCAACTTTGCATTGATTTGCAGTGTAAATTTGCGTCACTATAAGGGTCAAAGTTTTTCCATTTAATTCATCACCGGTCTTTACATTACTTACAATAAGGCATCATCAGGGTCAAGATCAGTTTTCTGCATTAATGCTATATGTGACTGGCACCGCATTACGGTACAGTACGGTGCTTGAAAGTAATGCTCATTCAAACTACGCCAAGCCACTAATTTCCCTCTGCTGCACTGTTTCAAAAGAAAGGTCAGGATGACTTAAAAAAAAAATACTCCACTGATGCTCGCAGTTTATAAAAGTAAAGGGGCACAGTGAGGCAGTGATTTCTTTCATGTCATCAAAATTTAATTTATTAAAATAAAGTTACCGCATAAATGATAAGAATGTAAAAAAAAATAAAAAATGAGCTAAACACTGAACATAGCCCATCACTAAAGAAAGCACAACTTTGTGCTTACATAACAGGCAATTTTTAGGTGACTTCATTATTTTATATAAAAAGAAGTAGAAAAAAAAAAGAATCCAGTTCACCTTCATTCTCGAGGAACCTTTCGTAAGTGAGTTAAGAAAAAAAAAATGCTCAGCTGTCGTTGCGCTCACAGAGGTGTCATAGCATTGTGTGTACGTGCCTGGAAACTAGTCTTCAATTTTGAGCCAGCCTTTTTTATAGTCTATGAGAAGCTCGAGGTAGTACTTCCACTCTGGCTCGCTGTCATACCTGACCTCAAATATGGTCTTAAGGGGGTTGGGGTGAGCCTCGTGGATGCGCAGCACCTCCCCTCTGTACCACACCTCTGATTTGTCAACTTCCTCGTACAGATGGCGGATCCTCTTTCCCACCAACTCGGGGTAGCAGAACCTCATGGCCCTCTGAGCCCTCTGCACAGCTGAACGCAGGACCCATCGCCTCCTGTGTTCGGCGCTGTGACAGGCAGACAAGTAGGGACAGTATTTGATCTTCAAAAGTGATCTATGTTTTCTTTTAGAAGAGCTGCCAAGGGGTCTTAAAGCATGAGAGAAGCTTCCTGTTCTCTCCCACCTGTGCTTTGTTTTGGGTGTCCTCCTGTGAACGTCAGCCTCACCGATCACACTCTCCCCGTCATCAGTCTGTGAGATGGAAGCATCAGCAGATGTCT